GGGATTCATAGAACCGTAGTTACAGCAGTAACTTTCGTTGTCAATGATGAATTGTGACTGAATGAAGATCCAGATTGCAGTGGAAGCAGACAGTGACAGACTGACTGCAGCTGCATCTGAGTGGGCAGGCAAGCAAGACAGAAAGCTGATTATCAGTGCAAACCTCAGTGATGCGTGGGTTGGTACACTTGACGTTCTTGGTGGACAGGTTGAGCCAGCGAGTGGTGTAAGGGTTGATGAGAGGGCAGTGATGTCGCAGTGTGCACCTTCCCTCTCCGCTGCACCAGCCGCACTGGAACTTCCTGTCTGCCTTCAGGCACATGCCACAGCTGTCCCGCTGGGCTGCACACTTATACAGGTGCACTGTGGGGTAAAGCAGGCAACACAGTAAAGACGCGGTCAGTGAATGTTTAATTGTTGTTTTAAGGAAAACTGACAGCATGTTAGATGAGACAGCGTCTCCTCTTCTATATTTCTATCCAGTGTAGCTCTAACATTTTATCTCATTTGCTTCTCTACCCTGTTTTCTGCAAACATCTACTGTTCTTACCTTGTATATTCTCTGGGTTGTCAATAATGAAGTTGCCATTCCACACCACTGAAAAATCCACAGGCAGCTCGCTGATCCTCATTCCCTCATACAGATACTGGAGGCCAGAGTCAGCGAAGCAGAGACAGAAAGAGACAGAAGAGAGGATCACAGTGGAAAAGAGAAAGAAAGGAATATTTCAATGGGAGGTCTGGGAATTGGAATCCTCATGAGTTCTTGTATAGCAGTTGCAGCAACATTTCCTTCCTATGTTACAGCAAACTTACATCATCTCAATATCCGAGCTGACACACAGGAACCACCCCAATAAAAAAAATGGGTCAGCTGGAAACACTGAGCTTTCTTTGGTTCTCTCCTTTGTAATCACCTATTGCATTTGTCAGCTTTGACTAAACAATACTCGCAGAAACACAAGTATATGCAACATGTGATAAAAGAGATCTCTGACGTTTTTGCCAACACTTTCTTAAAATGGCAGAGATTGGTCGAGGTCTGCGTGGATACAAACAACCACCAACATTCATTTTCCAACATGGATGCTTTCGGACTATTGGAAGACTGGAAAATGTATGCACAACTCAAAACCAAAAGGACTTAACTATTTATGAACACTCTGGAGTATTCACAAGGATATTTTGTGTGTATGTGCAAAACAGAGCGTGCATCATTTAATTCTCAAGTGCAGACAAAGGAAGGTCTGCTGCTGAAGTAGCACTACAGAACAAGCAACATCTCTGTATTCATTTAAGGTCAGCCAGGCTTTTTAAAATTCAATCTAGACAAAACTGATTTTGAAACCCTGAGCTTGGCATGAAGATTACATTAGAAATACAGCTGGTTGTAATTTTGATGGAGCAGAATTAAAACTGGAAAAATACTACCTGCTGCTCTGTGCCTTCACCAAAAAGCAGGACAGTGATCACACAAAAGATAAAATTGATGTGAGTGGGAGTCCTCCCTGAGACGGCCTGATATTGTTCTTACAGTTCTGAATGTCTTTCAAGTGCCTTTTTCTTATCTGGACCTGGCGCTCACCATTTGAAAATATTTTTCCAGACCTGTTTGATCACCTCAGCCCCTGCTGTGTTTCTGGCTACAGAGAGGACGACAGCAGGCTGATGTAAAAATAGGTACAAATTGTTTCCATCTGCTGGGCTTGATGGTTGTGTTTTGTTGTCTGAATGTATCTGTTTCATGAATCCAGAGCAGAAAAAACAGAAGATAAAACAAACAAAAAAATATGAAGAAAACTCTTTCTCCATGAACTCCCATATCGAGTGAATATACAAAGCAGTTTCTAATTAAATTAGATGTTTCTACCTTTTTTTATTTTATTTAAACCTTTTATGATATTTCTGTTTTATCTAGAAAAAAGCCTTAATGGTGTAGCCTTACCTAAATCAAATTAGGTAAGGCTACACCTGCTGAAATGTTCAGTGTCTGTTACCACTTGCTCCTGTAAAAGTGAACTAATAAATGACATTAAATGAGAGCACCAAATATAAAACATTCTGCAGATGTTAAAAGATAGTGGGAAAAGATATGTTTAATTTATTTTGGGTTAAAAATGTATCACATCATCAAATTAACATTAAAAAGGCACTTGTGCAATTATATCCTTTTAATTTCAGCTTAATTTCTATGACAGGGATTGGCCTTGTGCTCACTAACTATATCCTGCTTTCTCCTCTTTGTTCCCATGGAATATGCATGAAGCAAACAGCTCTGGTCTTTGAGAATACAAAGATATTTGCTGTATAAATCTATACAAATATAGGAGTGCTTCTCCAGATAGGCATACATATCCGTTTATTTAATTGTGGACAAACTAGAGGAACACTGGGAGATGCTATTTGCGTCATAAGGTCATCTCAGGAACAGATTTCCCCTCCTCTCAGAAGTCAATGGTCACATAAACTCACAAATTACTTAAGAAGAGTCTCACTTGGTGTACATGTGAACAAATAACACAAAACTTTCAACTCAAAAGCCAGAGAAGTGGAGACATTTACACTTGACTTAGCTAAACTTAAGGAAGCATTTCTCAGCATACCGAACTGTTCTGGCACTGTACGCTGGAGCTGTTGAAGCGAAGGGCGGTGACTCGATGGCTGACCCCCTGGATGTGGAGGACACATTCATAGCCTCGCTGGCCAGACTGGGGCTGTGGCAGGTTCTTGGCCTTTAGGGTGATTGGCTTCACCTCCCCTGCTGGGATCAGAATCTCCTCCGAGGGCACCAGCTGGGGACAGTCCTGCAGAGGGCAGAGAGCAGAAGAGTGTCAGCAAAACAGAGAGAGGAAATTGCATTTTGGTTTGAAGGTCACCAGCAAGGGGAGAGAAATCACAATGTCACGTAGGCGTCATGAATAAGAATATATTAAAAAAAAGGAGTGCTGTCAAAGTGAAGTATCGTTTTCAGTTTAAAGTAGAAGCACTACAATCAAAGCACTAAGTGTGTGTAAAGCCAGAATCTACCAAAGACACACAGGCGTGTTTAAGCTGCTTCCATCTCGCATGACTGACGTGGTCAGAGTGACATTGTTAAGACTTGTTAAGCTCAGTCGCTCTGGGGATAATGGACTGTTAATTGCTGTTGCCGAGAACAAGAGCTCTGAATGAGAGGCGGCATTTTGGAAAAATAGAGACGAGTCGATGGCTGTCTTTCAGAAGACATGCCTGGAGGCTGACAGAGAGCTGCAACACAGACAACAATGCAAGCAGAAGGAAACCGAAACAGGCTCTGTGTGTGGAGAAAACACAGGAACAGATAATTTATCTTCTCGTGCGAGTGAGTGTTCCACCAACCTCAGAGGTGTTGACTCGTCCCTCCTGGAAGGAGCAGCTGGAGGGGTCATGGGTACACAAGTTGCGGTATTTGCACCAGTGGCAGCGGAAGGCACTGTTCACACATGACAGACACCTGGGTGAAGACAAAAACACACACAAGTGGTGAGCAGTTCACAGTCAAGAAGAGACAGAGAGCTTGCCAAAGATGGGGGCGGGGGGAGAATCACAAAGGAAATGAGTTCATGTCCCAAGTAGGCACATGCTGTTGTTGCGCCCTTGTGGCTGGCACTGTACCCAGTCACTGCAGGACCCAGCTCTGCCTGCATAAATTTAGTGCTGCCATACATTCATTCTGCATGTCTGATTTAATATTAGTCCTCACCGCCACAATCAGAGGGGGAGGAGCCAAGACGGAGGGGAAAACTTTGAGAAATGAGGACAAATAAAACATTTGCTCAGCTTGAGCCTGCAATTACTATTAGTCCAGCATTGTTTGACTGGTTATGCTTAAGCATGTGCATGTGAGTATTTTTGAATGCATAGTATACATGTTTGCTTGGATCGTACTGAAGGATAAAACTGACAGAATTCAACAAATCAAAAAGGTGTTTTAGTAATATTTAAATGGCACAGGATGTAGTTACATCAAATAAATGAGTAAAGTACAAGAAATGCATCTAAATATTGAAATAATTTATTAAGCACAGGAATATATTTATAAAAAGTGAATAAAACTCAATTAAAATAAAATGTATTAATGTATGTAAAAAACTGAATTACATTGTGTGAATATTGAAATAAATAGATTGGTAATCGCTTACACGTTTGATTTATTAAATACATAATTAAATATTTAAATTAGTATAGTATATGTTAATATATGGGATAACTTGAATAAAACCACTGTGGATATAAATATGTCAATATTTTTATGTTGTGCTGAGTATTTTTTTTTTCACACCTTGTTTCAGGTAATCTAATGTTAAAGCTAGAAAATGATAACATTGGTAGATCAAAAATCTGTTTTCACATCATTATTCAAATGGCTGTGTGAAAACATAACTCCCCCTCGCTTAAATCAGGCATTAATTGTGATTAATGCAGGTTCACTGCAAAAGAACCTGTCAGAAAACATGAAGTAGACTAAACGATTCTAAAAAGCAACACCGCATGGCCCGATGCGGAAAACTTACATGAGAAACAGATCCATTGACGTCTGTAAGTGTTGAAATGGGTACAACATTAAAGGGCAATGCTCATCAGCAGTGTCAGATGCGCATCATAAAACTGGCCATACTTTTCTTTTAATCACACAACCTTCACCAGCTGCGTCTAGTCAGCAGCCCACACTAAAAGGCCTGGTGTCCAGAGATCCTATTAAAGAGAGTTTTGAAGCTATCCAAAGCTGGAGTCCAGTATGTCTCGTCTCTGAACTTTTGTACAAAGGACCTAAAGTGTGTTAAAGGCACCAGCTAACAGTATTTGACAAGACGTGCTGTAAAACTCCCAATGGGCATTCCTCTGAAGGCTTTTGGACTCCGAAAAACTACAGGAAAAGCCATTACCCATGAGCAAAACGAAGATGGAACAGAAGTGAACCTCCCCAGTTTCCCAAAGTCATCTAAAGAGTGAATGATGATAAAATAAACCAGAACAACATTGCATAACCAACCTCAGTTAAGATCAGTGTTTATGAACTTGCAAGAAAATGCAAAATTTTGACCTCAAGTTTAAGAACGCTTGCATCGTGCAGAAGGACATTAACCAAAGCATTAATCTCTGAATGTCTAAAAAAAAATATGCAGAGTTTAGAAATCCCAAGTCTTGACTTAAATCTGATTAAAATACTCTGAAGGGACCTTTAGGATGTTCCTGCACACACTATTCCACTGTAACTGAATAAAAACAATTATGGAAAAAAAAGAGCAGTCCAAAATTCTCCCACAGGATTGTAAAAGACTCATTGCGGCTTACCACTAATACAACACAAACCCTTCTCGGCAAATTATTTATATACGTCCCTAAAATAAAAGTGCTATTAAAAAAAACTGAAATCATTCCATGCGAAAGCCCTTAGAAGCCCAGATCCATGCTTAGCTGCAGGGTTTGTAAGGTTGCTCAGAGTATTATGACTGCAAATAAAAGCTTCTTTATAGAAACTAGTTCAGTGAGCTTGCAGGAGCGTATTACATGGTGAACAACACTCATTATTAATGATTTTCAACAATACACAGGGGGAGGAGGATGCTGAGAAGAGACAATGTGTATAAGAATTGAACTGAGCATAGAGAAATTCTGGCAAGGGTTTTAAATTGAGAACATAACTGCAGGCAGAACAGTAGTCATTGTGTTAGTACATAAAGCAAACCTGATTCAGCTGCAGTTGGTGACATTTAATATTTGTTTTTCACAGGGGGGTTGAAATTTGAGCAAAGCAGTGTGCAATGTAAACACTTATCAAATGAACCAATTGTGGTCGCTACCTTCTGCTTTGCCACAATGCACAGTTTATTTCTAGATCCCTTCCACATCACGTTATGAGGAAGCTACAGCAGCAACTGGAACATTTACAACTCGAGCTCCATACTGACACAAACCGAGTCCTGAACGCCACCATTACTAACTAAAAGTGTGGAAGGGTTTATTTTAAGATGCCATAGTGGAATTAGCTTATATGGGAAAACAAATTAAGCAGGTGTGGTTTCTGGAATATAAAATTAGCAAGTAACTACACTCACTTAAGTTAGATTGCTGGAGGTTAATGGGTGGTTTCACTTACTTGCAGAGCAAATTTTGTTCAATTTCTTCATATTTGTCTAGGTTTACTGATTTAATCTTAGCTGTCATGTAATATTTCTGGCTGGATATACAATTAGCAAATGTCAGTTTGGAATGTCATAATTCAACTCAATGTAACAGGATTTGGATCTCAATCAAATCTGCTACGTTTGAGTGTGGTAGCCACTGAAAAAGTTGCACTTCCACTACCTGTTGTTGCGGTGTTGCTTCTGAGGTAACGCAGGTCACATTCTTAGTGAGCCAGGGCGACTTTTTATGAGGCGGGAAAAAACTGACAAATGCCATGAGCCAAATTATAAACAACTCATGCTAACACAGAAAGTAAACATGCTAGTGTTAGCCTAGCACTTCAGAAAACCACTACTCATAAAAACATGGTCCTGAGGAATAATATGGAAGTTAACTGAAGTTTGTAGCTGGATGTGTCAATCACTGATGTAATGTAGATATCATTGTTACATTTAAAACATTATGAAACTGGCGTGCATTTACCATATTTTTCGGACTATAAGCCACTACTTTTTTCCCACTCTTTGAACCATGCGGCTTATAGCCCGGTGCGGCTTTTTGTGGATTTGTGAAACTTTCAATCTATTTGCAAAAAATTGGATCTTGCATCAGTCCTACACTTAATATCATGTAAGCATTATTCTTTGTGACTTGCATTTCTCTTTGCGTCCCTTATTTCTCAATAAACATTACATACATTTTTTAATTAATTCAAAGCCATTGTGATTGCTTTCCCCACACCATGTGTTTACGAACAGTTGTTCAACAAGCACGTCTTGGTGTCGGCTTGCTTTCACTCTCACTGACAAGGCTGAGTTAGGCACACTTGCTTGTTGTTAAATATTCATTGGTGCAAAAGCATGGGAGGAACTTCTGGCAAGCAGGCTATGCTGGAAGAAAAGGGTGTTTTCACCTTCAGGCAAACAGAGCAGAACATGTGTGTAAAAGGGACAGAAAGGGGGAGCAAGACTTGGCATCAAGGCATGGAAAGACGAATCTGTGCCCTTTTCAAGTGTATGCATCTGTCTCTGAGCTTTTGAGTGTGTGTGACTGCGTGTATGCGTGTGTTTGTCATTCTTGGTTAATCGCGCTGATGTTAGAGAGCTGGTAATTCCATTCTGTGCCATCCCAATAGGATTTCTGGGCAGCAGGAGAAGAAATGAAAGAAGAGACAGACTCAGAGTAACACTGCCCAGTGGCTAAAACATTTTGTTTTAATGTCAAGGGGGTAGTCAAAGGATAATATGACATGCTATCATTCCTGCAGCTCTGCTTCACTAGCCTTACTCTACTGCCTCATCTTTCCATTTCACCAAGTCAGAGAGGCCTTTGGATCTTGTACAAACAGAGTCTGCCTCAGTGGAATAAAGTGAACAATTGCAAAGGCAGCGTCGACACTGAGATCTCCGAACCAGGGATTCGAGGCAACATCAATCAATCAGGGACAGACGCAGCATGAAAATGGGAGGAAAATTCTCTTCTGAGGACCCGTTACACCGAGAGCTGTGGGTATTGTACATCAACACGTTTGAGAAAGAAAGCTTCATTAGCACAACAATGCAGAAACAGTGGGGCACTGGGAGCAGCAAGAGATCATAATACATTAGTTTTACTGAGGCTATTTTTAGAGGGCTGGCAAGACAAGATGAAGACCAAGCTGAAACTAGATCCCAGAGCATCGATTCAGGGCTTTTCAGGGGAATATTTGGGAGACAGTTTTTTGGAAAAGGGTTGAAATAGAGGGTGATACTCACAGCTGGTGGACACTACAGTTGTAAAACTTGATTTCAGTGCTGATGAGCATCTGACCAGTCTCCTTAGAGTTGAGCCTCAGCTCAACACCTGACCAGTCTGAAAGAGAGCAGACAACAGATCATCATGTCCATAAGTCACAGCCTTTGTCAAGATTTGTAACGTTTAATAAAACGTTTAATAAAATGTAATAAAATTATAGTTTTTCCAACAGCAGGCCTCATTAAATCTCACTTAGGTTGTGAATATTTGCTTTCATATTTGCTTCCACAGAGAATATATGCATGTCTGAGTCTCTCACTCATGTGAATGTATTATTTTTATTTTGGATGCATAACTAAATCAGTTTTTATTGTGCTAAAAGACCAGGAGCGTAAGTAGGTCCTTAACTTTTCTTTTAATCTCCCTCATAAACTCTAATTATGTAGAGTATGTGAGCATTACTTTTACTCTTAGGGGCAGCATTGACATGCACATAGTTGGTGGTTGCCATGGTGACTCCAGCCTTTTTTGGTCACTGATTTGTCTCCTACAAATAATCGAAATGACACAGGATGCAATGGTTCAGACAAACAAGTGCTGTTTGAAACAGAAAACATGTCTAACTGTAGCTCAGAGCGAGCTTCTTATTGCTGTGTTTTGCAGCTATGATGTGAATCCAGACTCGTGCAAGAAGATTAGTGCTCAAGAAATATTTGAGTCCAAGGATGGATTCTTCCAATGCCCTTATTTGGATAAACCATTTGAGTTATTAAAAGTCATTTTCATCTGTAAAGAGACAACTTATTTGTCTACAATTGAAAATTTGAGCCTCATCTCTAGATGGAAGTTCAATGGCACAGTAAGCTTTAAGATTCAGGAAAGTTTTGAACATTTTTGAGTTTCTAAAGTGCTTTTTTTCAGCTAGATCATAGCTGAAAAGCCTCCAAGCATTGTTATGGCAGGAACCAATGCATGTAAAAATCCTAACGTTGAACAGAATCTCTTACTAAGATGTAAATTTATTTCCCTTCACTTTCTTTGTCCCTATAGCTCGCAATCATTACATTGTGGGCTTCATGAATATGTGGATGTTTGCATGAGCCTGAATCTGATGACATTCAGTGTGTGGGAGGCTTCAGTAACCCTCAGCACTCTGTTCTCAGCACCTGCTGGGAATCAGGATTTGTTTCGCACAAGTCTCAACAGCAGTTTCATAACACACATCGGTCTCCAAGGATCCGGCAACAATATATGGAGGTCTTCTTGGTATTAAACTTCCCCTCTGAACATTTCCCTTAGTGGAAAAGAGGTCCAGTTATTTCCTTTAATGAGTGCAGTGTCCTCACAGTTTTCCACTGACCTCTTTGTCAGCCCTCCTTTAGATGATTTCCCTCTAATTTCTGCCCTGTTCTTTATTATGCATTCCTCTGCTCCCTTTTTGGTCTCATTTCCTGTTCTCTGTTCCTCTACTCTTGTCACATTTCCCCTCAGGTCATCGCCGAGGCACAATCAGTGTTGTCAAGCAGCGTCTGGAAAGACTCGCTAAAGGGACAGAGGACGGAGGGGGTTCCCATGGGAATGGATGGAGAGGGGAAAATGGAGGAGTAAACAGGCGGATGGATAGCTGGTGGGATGATGGCGGGACTTAACAGGAGGACTGGCTGACATTTACCTGAGGGAAAACACTTATATTAGAGCCGATGCACCGTCTCCTCTGGGAGTTCGGGGCAAACAGGGCTGTCATTTACTCAAAGCAGGCGAGAGGATGGGGGTTCACCAAACCGCCTCTAACACACATTGTTTTTCACAATCTGATTATGATCTATTATTTAGCGTGTTTACCTTTTCACATTGTGGCTATCTTCACCTGAAATGTTATTGCTGAAAAGCAGGCTTTAATATTCATACTGTATGTTTCTCTATCCTATGGCTCGGCTGAGATCTTGGAATGAATTTACTTTATGTGTGTTCCTGGAATGCCTACAGAAATCTGAAGACTTCCATGCTATGAACATCATTGATAGACATATTTGTTTGTAGCCTAAAAGCTGTATTTTTGCTTTGATGCACAACAGTAATTTAAGCTGCAGTCCCATTTACTAAGTTTTGATAAAGCGTTGGCTCATCTGATCATTTCATCCTACAGATGGATCTGTGTCAGTAACCAGGTGAATAATCAATGCACAGCTGAATATGGTAAAACAGTAAAACGTTAAAAAGTCATAAAATCTATTTTTCTTTCCTGATCAGTCTCATTGTGTTGATGGTTTAACCGTCTCCACTCCACACAGCTAAAAATGGTGTAAGGGTGCCGTTAGAAACAACATCATCCATAGAGGCACCCATTTTGTCCAGACTGCAGTCCAGGCAGCCATCTTTCAGAACTGGAAAAAGAAGTGACTCATGCTGAACTAACGGCAGGAATGACCAGCTTTAGAGTTCATAAGGAAACAATTCTTCATTTTACAGCACAGGTCTCCTGCCTGAGCCCTTAGGTTTTAATATTTATGTACTGACAGGCATGATGAAGGTGTTTTCAAATTCCCATAGACAGGACAGGAGATCAGGATGAGAGCAGTCTTAGCAGGGTAATGTATTTTAGATCTAATGTCACTGTTGTTGCTACTATTGTTAACATTAAAGTACCGTAAATGCAGGCAACACAAGTCAACTTTTGGAGATTTTTTTTTTCTTTTAAGCAATAAATGTATAAATGTTTTATATCTACCTTGGTCAGTCGGTATCAGCGGGACATCCTTTGCAGCAGGAGACACACAGAGTATCTGATTGCCGTTTACGTTTCCCTCGATCTCTGTCAAGTTGCCAAAGGAGCAGGTGATGCCCACAGAAAGGTCTGGGACATCACTCACCTTCACCAGCAGCTGCACATGGGACAGAGAAACAGCTCATTACTTGGTGACCGATCTACACACAGCATTTTGGCCTCTGACCAAATCTGCTGAAAACATTTTCACACATAATAGGAATCCTATTCACAGATAAATATTTAGGTACTGCAGAAAAAAAAAGAAAAAACCTTTTTATTAACAACACCAGCTATGGTGGAGGTTATCTGATTGGTCAAGGTACAGGAAGGTCTGCACAGAAATGTTGAAGAAATGTACCGACTTCAGAGCAGCAGTGCCAGCCTCAAAAAGAAGGAGGGAAAAAAAGAAGAACACAGTGCTGTTGGCAAATGCTGACAAACTGCTTTGCCAAATATTGTTTCTGGGATTTAAAAGCCTGTGAATCAGAAAAAAAATAAGACTAGATTTAGATCCTACACCTCCATTTGCTTGGACGTTATATTATGAAGAATATAACGTCCTGAAGAATATGAAACTGACTAAATTAAATCAGTTTCATTTACTTCGTTCTGTTCTAAAGCGCTTGAATTTATTAGTTGTGAAAGAAAGGAAGAAAAAGAGGGAAAGAAAGAAACAAAGAAAAATAGAATACATTTTCTGTACAATATAGTTTGCATATGCACATACAGGCGTTTGAAAGCAGTGACACTGGGGCTGGACTTTTCAGCAGCTCCATCTATAAATAAATGCATTCAGCACAGGGTGTGTGATCTGGCTCTCCAGCCAAGAAAGGCAGTGCGGATAATTATCACCATGGCATTTCACAGCCTCGTTTTATTAGTTATTTTTGGGCCACAGCTCTTGAAGTTTTCCATTGTTTTATCTGCCTCTTACTAAACACCACGGGGCTGCTGGGATGGGCAAGGCAGCTGAGCACACTAACTGCATGTCTTTTCAAGAAAACTACTCCGGCAGCGGATCGCGCTGCCTCCCTCGTTAACTGCCTTACTCCCGACGCCCGTCGAGAGGTGGGATGATTTCTCTTTTTCTGCTGAGGACCTCTCGTCTTCCCCCTGTTTAACTTCACCCATGTTTGTGTTGCTTCGCTGCGAGGTGTCAGAGAGATCCTTGATTACAGCAATCACAGCAATCAATGTCTTTTGTTCAATTTCGGATTTCCCGAGCAAGCTCTCACATTAATTAGCTCTCATCATTGTCACGCACATGCACACATGTACAGTTAAACACTCAAAAATTTGTCCATACACACTTTACACACAAAGTGAGAGAAAGTAAGCTTGTTTGGGAGTGTTGAGCTATATTGCTCTTTTTATGTTCTGCTGCCTTCCATGATGATGCTGGTGGTGGGTGTTTTTGCAGCTTGGAAGCAACCGACGTAATTGGTGGCAGATTTTTAGCGAGCATAATTTCTTTTTTTTTTTTCTTCTTCTTCTTCTCCCCACTGTTTCTGTGTCTGTCCTGAAACAGATATGAAGAGTCTGCGTTGTCATGGAGATGGCTGTTTGCACCTCTGGGATTTGGGAGCTGGGTGAATTTGCTTTGATTGGTTAGGTAAGATGACCCTGCAGCAGGTGTGGTTGACAGGTAGGAAATGACTAATATAGCCAACTGACATTCTGTAAAGTGGCCAGCAGGGTAATGTCAGCTGAGTTTAATTAAAAAGACATGAACAAAGAGATGATGCAAGGTCTATTTTAAGCTGAGGGTTGGGCCACCTGGGCGATGGAGCTGCATTCAAAGGAATGAAAACAGCTATAGTTTAAACCTCAGTTTACACCAACAAGCAACTTTAGTGGGTAAGCCTTGCCAGTACCAAATTGAACCCATGTTGCTTTCAGAACCACTGTTAATATCTGTGGCATAGATTCAATAACAGGCCAGAATCATTCTTGATATTTTTGGTCCATACTGACATCATAGAGTCACACAAGTACAGCAGGTTTATTTTCTGCACATCTCTGATGCTAATTTCCTCTCCCACTCTGCAAAGGTGCTCTGCTGAATTGGGATGTAGTGACTGTGTAGGTTACTGCAGTATGATGAATGTGTTAGCATGTTTTAGAAAAACAGTTTAAGAGGATGTGAATGTTGTGGTTCACTGTCCTTATAAAAGAAACCATGAGAGGGATGGACTCAGATGGCAGCAATACTCCTGCTACCCAGCAGTGGGATAAGCTCAAAAAATATCCAAAAGGAGGCACCCACTGGTCAAACGAACAACTTGAAATTAGTGATAAATTCAGATATGGGGTAGGATCAGATAAGTGTTTATTTTGTTCTTCATTGTTTATGCACATGATTTCTCTGTACTACTAGTTGCTTGTTTTCTTGTTTTCAAAAACCTGTTTGAAATAAATAAAATATAAATCAAATTTCACCATTAAAAAAAAAAAAAAAAGATACTTGAATTCCTCTGCCTGAGGCAGAGACTGACACTCAGACAGACCAATTTATCCCATTATCAGAGGCTGGTTCCAGGTAATATTCATAGATATGCGATCTTGTTCATTACATTCATTGCACAAGTCAGTCATTTTGATTTTTATTAAGCAAAATAGCAAAAGGAATGCACAAATCTATGCATTTGTAAATTATTTACACTGTTTTTCAAGAGCAATGATACATCAAAGTGTTTGACATTTATACGAGTAATCAACAAGAAAACAGCAATGGTGATTTAAAGCTCTTTGATTTCAAGTGCATCTGCCATGCGTTGCCCATAAGGATACAAATTCACAAGCTTTAGTTTTAATAGCGGACTAATAATAAAGTTATATCACTGGCAGTAAAAATACATACACAACAGTCTGTCTTGAAACCAAGACAAGAGGCAACAACCTGTAAGCAGAGAGTATATTGTGAGGTTTCTTATATAGGATATAATTGTGTTAAAATGAGCATATTTTAGTTCATATAAAGATCTTTTTTTTTTTACTTTACAACAACAGTGCTTCGCGCTGATTAAAATTGGATATACTATCTTTGGCTAGATGGAAGAGTACCTTAACTATTGTCCAATAAACAGTTTAGCTTGGATTTGATCATGTTTTAGACATTTTCCATGTTGTAAATCGATATAAATGCACGTATGGAGATGACAGAAAGACTTAGTCTTGGTTTTCAACTTACACATATTCAGATGATATTACAATAAATAAATAAATCTAAGCTACATAACTCTAATTACATACCTGTGATTGGTACGCTTAGAAATATCTTCACACCAAATTCTATTTTCACACAGTTTTCTCCTGTACCAGTTTTTCAGTTTGTAAGAAAGTAAAAATGTGGGTTATCTAGTGCCAATAGTTGGTCCAGTTTGAAAAGCTCTGCTGAGTAGTGCCTGAAGACCTAGAAGAGCTTGCCAAGGTAGTCAGCAGCATCGTAAGATAACTTATCTTCAATGACACAGGTACCAAGGCTATATTTAAGTGGCAGAACTTTATAGCACTTTGCAAACTTGGCCAAAAAGTACTGGAAAAAAATTTAGAAATTTTCAGAAAGTTCCAATGCAGCCACTCTGAGAAGAGTGCTTCCAGAGTTCACAGAAATTTTACATTTTCTAATATCCCAAAGTTACTGTAAGCAAATCAATCTGTAAATGCTGAACAGAAAATGACCCTTTGTCAGTACAGGTTGATAAAGCCAAAGTATGTAACAGAGTTCTTACTAAAGATGAAGAGCGTTCTCCACAACTTTCACTGGTGATCTCTGGCCGTTTTGACTCAGTCCATGTGGAAATAATGTACTGTACTCTTCTTCACCCTGGCAACTTTACCGCCTACACACTCGCCCACGCAAACATGTCTTGGCACAAATATTGACTGCTCTGAAACAAATGAACATATGCATGCCTAAAACGCCCACACAAAGCTCTTAAAAAATAAAATAAATAAACCTTCCCAGCTAATGTTTATGCATCAGCCACAATCACGACCAAGTGAACTGCTCGGTGGATTGATCCAAACCATTCTGGCTCTTTTGCATTCATTGTTTCAGGAGAACCATTTATATGCACAGTGCATGGGAATGTGAGTAAACTTACAGGCACGCTAGGCTCGGATACTGCAATGCTGTCGGGAAAGACGGTGGCCTTCACACACTGGCTGAGAGAGGCGGCGAAACGATACGGCTCGTCTGCACGCTCACATCGATTCCTTTGAGAGCATCTGGATGGGGAAAAGAAAGAAATTTGTTTATTTGCCTTGTTTTTGACACTACAATTAAATAAGTAAGGCTGAGAAAAGAAAATTTCTAAATAAGAAGGTCAATAAGAAGGTGTCATTAAAATTAATATGGATGGTTAATGCTTAGTTGCTTATGGCATAGTAAAAGTAAATTGACTTTTAGACCAAGATTCTTTTCTATAAACTACTCCTTTTCATTCAAAACATCTGTATACATTTTGTAACGTGTCCATTTCAAACTGTAAATGAATGAAATAAATCAAAGAAAAAAACTGGAATAGAAAAATGGTTACTGAAGTAAAAGTTTCATTTACCTTTAAGCATCGACTAAAGGGATGTGAATACAAATGCATCCCACACTTTCCAGAATTATATTTGTGCAAATAACTCAAAGCATCCTTCGTTTCCACTTCCCAATTTTATACTTTAAATTTTCTTGACGTATCACATAAAATCTCAGTAACATACACCGACGTTTATTGCTTGTAACTTGACATGAAGTGAGAAAGTTCAAGCAGAATCAATAGTTTTACAATCCATAACTGAGCTGCAATGATCTATGCACCCAAGGACTGATCCATCAATCAAAGAATAAATTTGCAGACTTAACTAGTGTAAATTGAAAGGTGCTTTGTCGCAAGAGCTCCTAATGGCCAGACAGGGTATCAAGAAGCAAACGACACAGCTACATCCCTCATTAAAAGTCTGCCTCCTCCTTCCCATTAAAACTGAGTGCTCCTTCCACACCGTTACACCAAAAGCTCTCTATCGTCAACCAACCCAACAGTGTTGGCGTTTGGCTAACTGGCTGACTGGTCACAGCAGCCTTAATTGGACTCTGATGGGTCAGCCGTTGTCCACGGTGCTAATGTACTCCTGCGAGTGTGTGAGTGCGTGTTGGCGTGTGTTAGGGCTCGTATCATGCCCCTTAACCACACAGTCTCACACAGGCAGACTAAGCTACATCTTCATCCCGAGCGTCTGTGTGTAATTATGTTGTCAGAAGTTGAAGCAGACTCAGGCACAGCAAAGCTCACACATGAACACACACACACGCACACACACATAAAGTCATGCACATGCATAAACGCTCTTATGTAGAGTATTCCTTCGGGAAAAATGGAGAAATGATTACCTGGCTTCTTATTTCCCTTCTTATGTAACTGATTTTTTTGCCTTTAAATAAGACTTTTTAAAAGTTCTCTCTCCTGTTCAGTGAACACGTTTGACTCCATGTCTGCTGTATTTAGCTTATGCCTCTCTCCCCATTATCTGCTTACGTCTTTCAGTTTCTCTTTCCCTTTCACAAGTTGAAATTAGTACACCTTTTCTTAGACAAGGTGTTACTCTGCCTGCAACAAGGTGCTTTTGGTTTTTTTAAATCCACAATAGCAGCAGAAAATTATACTTAATGCGCTTTCAGGTGTGAGCTGTGGCACCATGTTTTATGCATGTCTCCAATGCTGTATAGGTACAGATGCAAATCCTGGCCTGTCATTAAGGCACAAAAAGCTCTGCATTGATTTTCCACAATGTGAGATTTTATTTTATTTTTTCTGGAAAAAAGAAAAAAAAAATCGTTTCAGTGGGGTGAAGTAAGATGAGAGCGCAGCGAGAGGGGTGAGGCGGCGGGGGTGGGAGACGTGCAGGATGGCTGCTGTTGCCATGGTTTCTGGAGACGGTCATTATCTTTGTGTAGTTAGAAGCTGACCCCTTTGCCTCCCTCATTAGCTGAAGAGTGTGCCACAGCGTGTTGACGACAGTCCTGCCTTCCTCATATTCCCCCCCGCTTACCCCCTCCACTCCACCAACCCCAGTACAATCTATTATCTTCCAGTCTGGGTCTGGCCTGTCACTCAGTTTCCTCACTGATGCTTAGCGTTTCATCACTGCATTCCGTGCATGTGTGCTCAAACACACACCGTCACTTCTCCACACACACCGCCACTTCACCCAGTCCATTCCATGTAATAAGCAGTAAATATTTTTCTTTCCCTGCAGTAAAAGCTAGAAGTCGTTGACCCTGATGTTGTTCTTTCAAAGCCCTGTCCATGGTGCTGAAGTAGCTTCCTCCATAGAGATGCGCAGGGTTTTGTATATCCCTTAAATGTTTTCCTTGTTTAAAAAAAATAAAATAAAATAAAAAAATCAACAGAATAACTTTGTGGTCCATGTTACCCATGTGGCCAGTTGTAAATTGCTAAAGGGAAGTCAGATTTTTGTCAATAAAACTTTCAAAGTCTTGTGGAGTTTACAAAACAACTGTTGTCCAATCAACAGATTCTCCCTTGTGAGTTGTAGATCTCTGCAGCTCATCCAGAATTACCTGAAGCCCCTCGGTTGTTTCTCTGATGGATGCTCTCCTGACTGACCAGTAAGTTATGAGTTGGTAAGATTGCAGTAATGACATATTCAATTCATTTTTACATGACTAACTGAATGGTATAAACCACATATTATGAAGAGGTGTTTTACTAAATACCTCACTTTGTATACCGTTCTTTTTAAAAAGAAAATTGAAAACAAGGTATCACATTTTCTTCTACTTTACGGTTATACGCTACTTTGCTCTATCCCAAACTAAAACATCAAACTGAATATTAAAATTTCTTGTGAAACGAGACAAAATATGTAACACACAGAAGCAGTTAGTATTATTACAGCCCTATGACTTCACTGAAGCCAAGATTGGTTTACATTTGCTACTGGAAAATAGAAGAAAGAGGTATGTATATGTAAAACCTCTTTCTACGCTGCATAAAGACAGAAATAGCCCAACCAAGATATGGTTTGCATCCTATTCTTATTTATAGTTATAAAAAAAACAAAAAAACAAAAACAAAAAAAAACATGTCTTGAAACACAACATTGGAAGGAAAAATTGCCTAAAAACATCCAAGCATCTTCCTGCTCACATAAACGCATGCAGCACCTTCCACTTAATCCTTCGCACTGTAACACAAACCTTTGCACATATGCTTGCATACACACACCGCTGCCTTGAAAGCAGGGTAAAGATTTTGCTCTTCTATCTATCCCTCCTCTCCCTCTCTCCCCTCCCCTTAAGACTGAGGACGTCAGTAAAAGTGCGAAGGCCTGTGTGATTGCTGCTCTTGCTGTGAACACCATGTTTAAAAACAGGAGGAGAGGACAGAAGTGGAGCCATAAAAAAACCCTCCATACCTCCACACAGAAACGGGAAAAAATGCCACGTAGAGAGGAAAATGACAGCCCAATGGAGATGGTTTGCCTGTAGGGAAGGTGTACTGTTGGGAGGATGGAGGGGATCGATCGCTTTAGTCCCCACTAAGCGCTTAGACCTCAGAAGTATGGTTTTCTAAATGTGTGTGTGTGTGTGTGTGTGTGTGTGTGTGTGCGTGTGTGTGTGTGTGTGTATGGAGGGTGGTGGGGAGTAGGAGCTCACAACTCAGAAACCAGAGAGGAAATCAAGGAAAAAAAAGCAAGGAATAAAAAAATCGAATCAAGTAGGGAGAAACAAAAAGTAAAGAAGGAAAAGATGCAATTGGACTGAAAATGATTAAAAAAAAAGTAAAGATGAGACATATGGAAGAAAATAAGGAAGGAACGAACAAAAGTAAAGAAGGAACCAAAACATGGAGGAAATAATGAGGGAAGGAAGAAAGGAAAGGAAAAACACAATGTAAGGCAGGAAGGAAAAATATCAGGAAAGGGAGGGAGGAAAGAAAGAATGAAAAATTAAGGACCAAAGGAACGTGGGGAAAGGAACAATAGCAAAAGGAGGGGAAGAAACAAAATTGAGAAAGTAAGACACAAAAGATAGAATTTAACAATGAATAAATGAGGAAAGGGGTAAACAACAGGAAAGAAATAATGAATGAAGACAGAAAGAAGGAAAAGTTAAGCAAATAAAACAGGATTTTAAATTAGAAACCACAACCTGACTAAGACCAACAGTTGAGGTGACACAGAGGAGCGTGCAGGTCGCAGGCCGGAGCTCATGCCGGGGTTAAAACAGCAGCCTCAGCTCTGTGACTGTGTACTGTTCTCACTGATGATGTCACTGCAGGATGGGGCCCACAGGACACCCTGCGCACGGCAAGGCCACAATCAATTCACATCATCTCCAATATCCCATTGCGAGTACTGTAGTGTAAACTGAGTCCGCCTATATATACAGACACCCTGAGCTGTTCGTTCACATGCTGGGTTTACGCAGGCCAGGAGTCCTTTAAAGGCAAAGGTTCATGAGGGAAACAGAATAACTAAGAGCGCTGGCGCTCAGTGCTCTGCATCGCGCCTTAAGCTGTCTTGAGTGAGAAAAGAGAGAAGAGCAAAGAAAGAAAGCAGCAGAGCAGGCGTGGAAGCCTCTTAAAATGAACAGCAGCATGTAACAGACCCACCAACACACTGGGCTTTTACGGTCTTTAACTGTATTTTATGTCACCTGCCCACATGTACAGTACTGCTGCCGAGTACCAGCTCTACGTGCGAGGAATCTATAGAAATATTGATGGAACTGCATGTTTGTGATCAATATCTCATTAGGCTCCATTGGGAAGATGGATGTGGCCTCCCCCTGTCTGCTAACTCGAGGCTTTAGCTGATGAGGTGGCCATTAGATACACAGCCCCACATTTACAATGGACTGAAGCAGCCATTTTCACCGCTGGGTTAATTGTTGTTGCCACTGCCAAATTAGAGGGGATGTTATGCTTGACATAATTTGTACTGTAGCACTGTGATCAACATATTGCTTGAAATACATACATAATCAGGAAAAACAAGGTGCTGGAAAAGAAATAAAACTTGATTTCTACAATTTGTACTCAATTTAGATTTTATTGAACAATCGTTTAATGCGTCACCCACACCATTCATGTTCAGTTTCTCTTAGTTTCCTCTACCCATCACAGAAAATCACTTGCAAAAGATAAGGTGTTATCTATACGCAGCCAAGAACCAGAATAAAATGTTTGTGTTTTGTTGATCCAACAAGTTCT